TATATTTAAATATTTAAAACTATTCAAAAAGTCGAGCAATCTCGACTAGAAGCTACCCTATAACCCTGTAAAAAAATGAAGAATGCCAGACAGAGGGACAGGCTACGACTGCCATTAGCTTCTAATAACGAAGTATAGAATAATCATATTACATTTAAGTAATTGTTATGGTAATAATCAGAAAATAATAAAAAGTTCAACTACATATAATAGTCGCGCATGGCTAAAGTGTGAAATAGTTTAATAGCGAACTCTAGAGACTAAACATGTCTAGCGAATCGAGCGAAACGGATGGCATAGTCATACGCATCATGAACGTGTCGGACTATCAGAATGTTAAAAATGCAATGGGCGGGAATATAAACAGGGACGAGCCGCTAGATACGTGCTGCGGCGGGTATGTGAATAAATTGTATCAGCAGACGGACGATGACTATCACATTTCCATAGTTGAGAAAGGAACTAGTCTCATGGCTATCGATGAGAAGAACGGCGGACGCATCGTCGGCATAGTTGTGGCTGCTCCTCAGACACCTAGCGATGTAATTAGATTTACCAAAGATATAAGGACATCAACTGACTATGAACGCATCGACATATTAATATCAAAAGTCGAGGAAGAGGCCAATCTCTACAAGCGTTACGGCATCTCTAAGCTGCTCTGCTCGCATATCACTTATGTTGATGCCACAATGCGTGGCAAAGGACTGGGCGCACGTCTAACAACCGCTCTCATGGAATTGGGTCGCTCCAAGGGCTATCCCCTCTTGGTCGCCTACTGCACCAGCTTCTATTCGGCACGCCAGAAGCAAGCCTTGGGCATGGAGTGCGTCTACAAATTAGCCTATGCTGACTTCAAGGATGCCAACGGAAAGGTTGTGTTCAACCCACCTGAACCGCATACACATATACGCGTGATGGCTATTAAACTATAAGCTGATTATATGTCACCTCGGTATTCATCAGTAAATATTTGATAATAATATTTGTCTATTAAATCAACAATATAAAAAGAAATTACCTAACATAAAATAAACTTGATCGTTTTTCACATTACTACTATAATGAGCACATGATAATGAGAATAAAAATGTAGTTTTTCAAGTTCCTCATATGCAATAAAATGTTCCGCGTGATAAATAAATAAGAATTTATGAGTAAATTGCATAAAAATAAATTTCAAATTATTTTAGCATTGCGTGAAAGTCTAA